CACACACACACACACACACACACACACACACACACACACACACACACTGTTATGTCACACAGGTCACAGTTAACCACTGTCTGAAGTGATACCAAATCAAAAGGAAAAACTAAGATTAATCTTCTCCTACAGTTTATTCACATTACTTACAGCAAACATTATGCATTGAAACTATTATGGACTGAATTTTGCACTAGCTGAACCTGCAGACTGATACTATGTTTATGGTTTTATACACATTTATTCCCCTGGCTGCAAATGAAGATGCATACATATAAAGCCCATCTCTACAGTCATAACATAATACAAGCTGAAGATATGAAGTGAAGATTAAAGTGAATATTTAAGCCATTCCTCAGCAAAGAAACTCCAAAAGTATTCAGATGTCAGCTATTACATCCTCATATTCTGACTGACAGCTGTCTAAAACTCAGGTTGACATGCTGTAGAAAACAAATGACGTGCACACTTTCAGCAAATGATTGAACATAAGAAGAGATCATCAACTACAGTCGTCAAATTGTATTTCTGAAAAGCTTCCTATTTAAAAACAGGTCATTATTTCATTCATTTTCAGTCTTGTTTAAAAATACTTGTTTTTCAGATCGACCAAAACGCCAGAGAGGACTTTAACGTGACATCTGACGTGGAATTCAACAGCATCAAATCAGTTGTTCTTGGCACGGTGTCAGGTATACGTGAAACTCTCATTGAGCCGATTACAGTAATGTGTGACAAAAGACTGTTCTGGGGCTTTTTGTTCATGGTGGTGGGTGGATCAGATGGAAATCTGCCATCAGTGACGTGCATCTTCAAATGTTTGGTATATTTTTGTATCTTCTTTCAAAAACGGTAACAACAAAACAAAAAAGATTTGCCCACTTAAGTTGCATTTCAAAGCCAAATAGGTAAATTACAGTACTATTTTTTTTTTTTACCTAAAGCAAAAGTTCAGAAAATACAGTTACTGTATTTTGCAGTTTGATGAAGCAGTAAATGATTAGGTCTTTTCCTGAGAGGAGCCTCAGACAGCTGTAACGATAATAAATTCAGAAAAGGCCTTTTACTTTCTATGCTAATAAGGAGAAACTGAGAAGGAAAAATTGTTTTGAAGATTGACAACACTGTGCAGTTCAGAATTACAACCAATCGATCTCAGCTGCTGTGGCGGGGTGGGGGGGTCAAAGTAAACCAGGGAGTCAAATGGTGCAGTTCAGTTTCTTCTTGCTTGACAGAATCCACTTTCAGCATCAGTTCTGATGCAGTTTAAGTTTACTGTCATTTATCTTGAAGATAAAAGGTATTGAAACAGTCTGGATAAGTCTTCACTTCTATAAATCTTTTTTTTTTCATTCAACCTTTATTTAAACGGTCACATTGAGCCTCGAAGACTCATTTACAAGTGAGACTTGTTTGGACAGACAATAAAGTGGTGAAAGTGACAACATAGGTTTTGGAGGCAAAAAAAAAAAAAAATCCCAACATGCTCTTAATCTTTGGTTGAAGATTATAAGCATGAAAATTAAAATAAATAAAAAATCAGAGAGCATCAAAGTTTACAGAGCTTCCAGGTGAATTAAGATAAGGTGGCCTGTCAAGGCCAGTCAGAGAACCAAATTCAGATAAACACGATGTTTTGGGGACAGGCAGAACTTTACTGATCATGTCTACCTTGAGTCTGTCGGTCCTCTCGGTTCCGAAACGTCCAAATTATGGTTGTTATTTTCTATGTTTTGTTTTCTAAACTTGCGAGAATCTTTGTAAAATCAATGTAAATTTCCATGTTGAACAATTCTAAAGAGGCATTAACAGTCTAAGGACAGTCTGCAGCTAAAGACCCCATGTAAATTATATTGAAATAAGGTCATAAAGATATCATAAATGGACATGATTTTTCTATCTTTCCCAACACAAATCATGTTAACTGTAATTATACTCTATATTTTTTCCAGCATTCTACCTTCCTGTAGTTTGCATAAGCAAAGAAAAAAAAATCTCTCTATTATTTTTGTCTGCTGACAATTCCAGCAAACAGTTTAGAAACTGCACTCATTTATGGGTAAAACCGATCAACTGAGCATCAGTTTCAAATCCCAAGAAAGTAACGATTCCAGTCAATCCAAAAAAGTTCAATCTGGTCCTCTGGACATTCAAAAAAACAAAACAAAGCAAAACAACAAAAAAATATTGAAACGTTTCGTCTCTCATCCGAGAGACTTCCTCAGTCTGAGGTGCTGTATTCAGCTCAGTCTCTTAAATAGCACCTTCTCAGAGTGGATCAACCAGTTTGCTGCTGACAAACAAAACCAGATGATCACATGCTCAAGAAGGACATTTTGATTCCAGTCAATGTATGATCAATGATCAATGTGAAAGGCGTGTTTAAGTTGTTTCTACTTTCTCCTCTTATTAATTCATTATTTTAATTGCTGATCCAGTCTATATCATGAAGTTAGCCAGTCGCCACCCCTGCTGAGCCAGAGGACTCGGTCACATCAGCGTCATAGAGGCAGTGTAATAGTTGATGTTCTGTCATTTTCCTGCATGCCCCATCATCCGTCAGCTCAACAAATGAACCAGGACAAATGTGCAGCCTCAGATTCTCTCAGACAGACAGGGAGATAATGATGGGTGGTTCTAACAGTGGACACCGTGTGTCAGGGCATTACTTCGAAGACCAACAGTATATGGAAAAAATACAAATATTGCTTTAAATTTTGATTGTTTAATCCTCGTTTAAGAATCTCATTAGCTTATTTTGTTGCTTGTTGTTTTGCATTATATTTTTACATTTGTTTTTATTGTGTTTTCCAGCAATCTATCATCAGACAAAAACTTTAACAGTTGCATCGTTGCCAATAGTCAAAGATTTTGTGTATCTGAACTTGTTAAAAAAAAGATCAACTCAATTATTAAATAATGTGTACCGATTTATTAATGTTTACTTTAGCTTTTGTGAAACACATAATTAATATTAACAAAAGACCATGAAGAACAGAAAGTGTCCATGCTTGTGGAGTCTGTAGGAATAACTATGCCTTCATACTGGAAAGCCAGATAAGTTTGCTCTGCTGGGGTTGCCGTCTGCCATGAAACTAATGAATCAAAGGAAAATTATTTGTCTACGGCTCAGCATTTCAGATGCTATTTAAACTCAACACCTGATCAAGTATCCTGCTGATAAAATGCCTGCTTCAGCCGGCCTCATCTCCAGCGTCATATTTATGTGTTTTGTTTTTTTTACTCCTGGATAATAAGTTGGATTTCTGAATATGGTTTGTGCTGTGTAAGCAAATTGCTCAGCAGGAATAATTGCGCTTCATTTTTATAGCGTAAGATTACAAACTGCTGTCCCAACTAGTGAGACCTTGAGTCATTTAATCATTAGTTTTACTTTGAGTAAGGTTTTTAAAGAGCTATCATGGCACGGTCTATCATTTTAAGTTGTCACTGTAAAAATCTTGCTGGCAGCTTTCTGCCACAACATCTGAATTAGTGTTTTGTTTTGTTGTTCCTTTATGCTTTAGTGCAAGTGCTGAATTGATACCTGAAAGCATTTTTTATTCTTTAACGGCGTGAACATCATGTCTGTTAACAACTAAACTTCTCTGAACGTTTTTTTTTTTTTTTTAACTCTGAGATAAATATAATTGATACTGATACTCAAACACTTTAAAGCCACAAAATGCTTTTATTTTGTCATTAAAAAATGTAAATAAGTTCAAGTTCAAGATTCTTTATTATCCCCGAGGGGCAATTTTTTTCAGTAGGCACACAAAACATCCATATTAGACAAAACATTGACATTAAAATAACAGAAATCATCACTGTTCATTGAGAAGCCTAATATCTACAGGGATGAATGAGTGTTTCGGTCTGTTCGTTCTACATCTGGGCTGTAGATACCTGCGTCCAGATGGAAGCAACCTGAGCTCACCATGGAGTGGATGATCAGGATCTGCCAGAATCAGCCTGGCCTTGTTCACTGACCTCACCTTGTGTCGGTCTGTGAGGTTCTGTAGAGCTATGCCAGCAGTTTTGCCGCACATCCTGACAATCCCCAAGAGTTTGTTCCTGTTTTTCACGTCAAAAGTCCGAACCAACAGACGAAGGTAAAAGCTGTGTCAATAAAACGTGAATAAAATGTTCTCATAGAAGTAGAATCAGCATCAAAACCACAGAGCTTTTGATAACAATACATTATCTGATGGGTCTTTTTATATACTGAGTTCACATGAGGGTCAAAGATCAGTTTGTCATCAAGAACAGTTCCCAGATATTTATTTTGATGTTCCACCTCAACAGCTTCACTGTTAATGGCCACAGGAGTGGCAACAATGAATATTGTTCTGTAAACCAACAAAAGAAAATCCTCATAAAAGTACAACCTGGCTTTTGTTTCTACTAGTTCTCTTACACACGTGATGACACAATGTGCTTAGAAGCAATCACACTTTACCAGCAGTTTCTTAAAGATTTACTGCCGTCGCACTAAAATCACATCCTCAGCTGAATGAGGAAGTGCCCCATCATTCTAATGCATGAATGTTCAATTTTTATTTTTTTTGTGACAATTGATTTTTGAATTTCATCATTGTTGCCTGAAAACAGAATTAAGAAAACATTCTTTATATTAAAGTTTTTTTTTAAATCATTTTGAGGCAGAAGCCTTTCTGTGCACCGTTTTATATAAATGATTTCCCATTTATTCCATTAACAATAGTCTCATCAAGATAAACATTTACATGTGTCACTGCTGTATTTCAAACCTGTAATCTTATTTCACCAAGAAACACGTCTCCTCATCTCACTTGTTTTCATTTTGTTTTCTTTCTTTGTTCAGAGTCTGAAGAATTGGACCCGGATCTCTCTTGGCTGGGCTCTCTCAGATTCACTGGATGCCTGTCAGGTGTTCGATTTAACTCCATCTGTCCTCTGAAAGCTGCTCTCCTCCAACCTGACAGCCGGGTTATTGTCACCAGCCCTCTGGTCCAATCAAGCTGTGCTATCTCATCTCAAGCTGATCCCTTTGCAGCAGGAACAACACACTCCTTATCAGGTAAAAAAAATAATACGTCCCTTCCATCCTTCATATCATTGGGCAAACACTCCACCTGTCTCAGTGTGGGATTCTATCTGACGTAATTTAAATATTCATGGATAATCACTATACTTAACAGATTATTAGGTGGCCTCCTCTGTAGGCAGAGAGAGAGAGAGATGGCACAGCAACAGATGAGATTAGTCAAATACTCTGAAGTGCTTTAAGGCTTTTTAAAAACTCACTGTTTGCACTAACTAGTGGTTCTTGTTCTACTTTCTGTTCTTAACCCATTTCACCTCACATTTTTACTTTATTTTTATTTTTTTTGCCGTCTTCGGTTTTATTATTTGTCCTTTTTCCTTTGTATGCAGACCAGCCTGGGTCAGTGGATCCCAGTCAGCCTTTAGTCAACGTCATCAGGAGCGACTCAGCTCTAATTGGAGGTACGGCTCTCAGCAGAAATGAAAATATTTAAACGCGTCTAATCCAGTTTTATCTGTAAAACACTAAAAATTCTCAAAGGAACGTTGTTGTACAGTGCAACGCACACAAGCAAAAGTAAACACAGATTCAACTAAAATGGGAATAAAACAATTTAACTATAAAATTAACATTTTAAAAAGGTAACAAAGCCAAAGAGTAAAAGTGAGATTTAAAAGCAGCTCATCAATAAAAACAGCTGATTATACAAGTTCTTTGTGCCACTTCGTTTTGTTTTGTCAGTGTTTGTGACTTGACATTGCTGTTTTACTCACCTATTCTGAAAAGTACTCATCACGCATGAGCGTTTGTGAAAAAGACTACGAAAAACAAATAACATGTCAGAGAAGTCAACATTATCTGAGCTAAATCTGTCTGGGGAAATTAAAATTCTCTAATCTCACACCCAATTATGTCCCCCAATAATGCGATGAGAGGAGATTTGTTTGCTGCAGCAAGCAGCTTTTAGCACAGAGCAAATAAACACAATTGTTCTTGTATCAGACAGGCTAAAAGATAATTCAGAAAGCATCAACAATAAATCTAGCATTCAGTGAAGAAAGGCTGCCTTGCATGCCAACATTTGAAATAAAGATTTATGTGATTTATGCTTAAAGTGTTTGATGGGATGACTCTGTTATCACCAAAACTAATTTTAGCTCAGTCTCTGTAAAACCAAGTTAGAGCCATTTCTGATTCTTCTAAGAGTGTTTATTTGTTACGGCCATCTCAGAGCAGGTTCACTGTGTTTTCCGGCATATAAGTCAGTTTTTTTGCATAATTTGCATGCGACTTACAAACCGAAGTGACGTATTTCTGTTTTTTGCCCTGATTTATAACTCAATTTTGGGTTGAGATCTGACTTATTTCATTCATTCTGACATGGACAATATTGAACACAACCATTTTTAGCCACTAGAGGGCCCTCGACTAATATGGCAAGCCAAGTGTCTCATTAATATTCAAATATGGCAATTAATGAGACACTTGGCTTGCCATACAAAGCCACCTTCGTCTCGCTTCAGAACTCGTGGAGCAAACCTCAAATCAGCTGCATTTCACCAATGTGACATATTTATGTTTTTTCCACTATATTAGACATATTTGGACAGATGCGACTTATACGGCGGAAAATATGGTGCTGCTAAAGAGACTCATTTAAAGTTGTACCTCCCAATCATTAATTTATGAAAGTTTAATTAAAATCAGCTTTTGATTCATGAGTTATTTTGCTAACTTGACCGACACGGTTGACAACAACCAAGATTGTCATTTTTTTAGCACTCTGAGAATATGTTGATTATGTCAGCTACTACCACACTAAACTTTAGCTTGTAATCTGAAAAAAAATAAAATAAAAGTTATAGCTAATTGTGTTTGCTAATATTGATTAGCTGGTCTAGCCTCCTTGAAAGGGATTGACTTTAAAAGTTAATCGGTACGCATCAAAGGATTACTTTCTGATAGTTTCAATACAAAATTATTCAGTCGTTGAAGAGATATTTTGCTAACAGACAAAAACACACACCGACACAAGCAGGTATATGGACACCTGCCTTTCATGGCTCTGTGTGATAATATTTCAACCCCTTTTTTCCCTCATTTTTGGACAAAATTTTGTTTTGTGCTTTTCAGGCGTGATCGCAGTGGTGATTTTTGTCACCATGTCGGCATTAGCAGTCATGGCCAGATTCATCTGCACCAGGAAAGAGACGTTTCGGAACCACGAAGTAAAAGCTGTGCAGCCAGAAGACAGCCATGAGTTCCCGTTCAGCAGCCAGGCCGACTCTTTGGGTGCAAACCAAAAGGAGTTTTTTATTTAGCAACGGTCCTGGATGAACTGAAAAGACAGAACAAGAGGAACTACCAAACAGTGCTTTACCAATCCCCCCCCCCCCCTTTTTGGTAAATACTACAGACTTTGCTTAACTAGCAGATGAGTTGGATTTTAAGACGTCGGTGCTTTCTCTTTAAGGATTCAAATATTTAAACATGTACAGTTCATAGTGTTTTGTGCGCTTACAACTAATTCCCCACCTCTCCTATAAAAACGTTTCAATTTAATAAATAAATAAATGTGAATAGATGTGATCTGTTAAAATGTTTGCGCTTGATTTATAAGAACTTTTCTATGAAAAACCTTTAAAATTTGTGAGATTTATGATGCCAGAGCCATAAACACCCAGGGACGTGGACTTAACTGGAGGGATTATATGCAAGATTTACCTGGACCATCCCAGCCGAAGCACCGTCCCAGAATCAGATTAAATGTGTGCTTTACGTGGAAACAATCCCCAAATCTGCTGTAAATATAAAAACGGAATAAATGCTGCTCTAAAACTTTGTCTACCCTGTCAGTTAATTTGTGATATATTTTGTGCTGGTCTATGTGCGTTTTCACTGTTTTGAATGTATGGAACCCTTCAGCAGTGATACTGAGGTTTTTGTTAAGTCTTTGCTTTGCAACCCGTGCAGCGAGCAGCAGAGCTCTCACATAAAGAGATATGAGTAGCTCGGTCCATAAAACATGAGTGCTTTGTCACCGCTTTTACTCTAAGCACACCGTTTATTTTTATTTTTTCCTGAAATCTTAATCTGCTTTTGCCTAATGGAGACATTAAAATAAGGATCTTGTAGTTTGAGACCCTGCCCAATCAGATCCAGTTTATGAAAGTTTATTCAAGGTTCTTTATTTGTCATTGCACCACATGTGGTACTGTACATGTGGTGCAATGAAATTATGTACACGAGGTCCCAGTTACATCCAACAATAAAATGTAAAGGAAAAAACAGCAATAAGATCTAAGATATGAACTAAGAAAAACATCAACTAAATATATACTAAGCACTAGTAGCATAAAAACATTACGCCGAACAGCAGCACGAACATGAGTCTGTGTGAGCAGATGAGCACGCATGAACACGGCAACATGAAACAGATCAGCAGCAACATGAAACAGATCAGCAGCAACATGAAACAGATCAGCAGCAACATGAAACAGATCAGCAGCAACATGAAGTGAGTTTTTTCACTGTGATTATCCTGGTTAGATATTCATGAGTCTAACAACCTCAGGGTAGAAGCTGTTCCTCAGTCTAGTGGTTCTGATCTGACCTACATTACCTGTGTAGATTGTAAAGAGTGTGGGTCCTCTTCACAAAATAAAAATACTTTTTTGGCTAGTGAAGCATTTGCTCTTCTGAACACAACCACTACTGAATAAAATCATGAGGGCGTTCAGCACTTAACTCAACTGCTCTTGTTAAAATAGTCAAACACTGTGGCTGCAAACCTGTGATTAAACACTTTAGAAGGAAATAAATTATATTTTTGAAATGTACCAATGGAAACATCTTTAAAAATGTGACCTAAAGCCTCTTTGTGTCATTTGGACAGCATCCAATCATATCAGTTAATGTATTTGAATGTTTCTGCAGCAACAGCCAGAATCATCTAAAAGCTGATTTACATTTTATATGACATGAGTTTTGAATGAGTAATGCTCAATTTTAGGAAAATTCATCATTTATTCTTGCACATTTTTATATAAGGTTGTTGCATTTAAATACTTTGCATCAGAACCAATCAAATTTAAAACGAGGCTCGGCTACGTCAATGGATGACTTGGTCTGAAAGGTTGAGTGGGCAGAAGTGCAGGCAGCCATTGCATTTTCATTCATTCAACCTTTATTTATGCAGGTTAGTCTCACTGAGTCACGAGGACCCATTTTCAAAAAAGACCTGTTTTTTAACAAAACCTCAGATAAGGTACACACAACAAACAGCCATACAATGCATTTAAATGAAAGGTAAATGAAAGTAGCTATATAAAACAAAATAAAATCAAGATACCTTATGAAACGAGGTAAAATACTAAAAACAGGAACATGTCTGCATTAATTTTTACGTTTAATTTAATTGTTTAAAATCACTTAGAGAGGACAGCTGCACAGGATTCACTTATATTAGTCGCTTTGTACAACACATAATAACAATACTTTATTGCAATAAATTGTTTATGATACAGTAAAGGCATCTTTGCAACTTTTTTTTATCCAATAATATTTTAAAGGCCGATTTTTATTTGTGTACTGTACCTTTTATAGTGGGATTAAGACTTTTGCATCAGTTTCACAGATTGTATTCCTTTAACAAGTTTCCTTCGACAACACTTTTTTGCACATAGACTGCACAACAAGTGATCTTGCCATTTAATTACAATGACACTCATTGTGTTAAATGCCTAACTGATGTCAAAGCAATGCAAGCAGTAAACCACGCATCATTTTGCTGATCTGATATAAAATCTTTGAAAGATGATAATTTGGCCGTCTGTTATTCCTGATCTGAACGTTGATCCACTCTGCTCGTCTGTCAGAAATCCTCTGTGATTCGATGAACTGAGAGCGCACGGACTGCTGTCTGCTGCAATATTGATAAAAATGAAAAATCACTCATTCTGGATATGACTGCTGTCTCAAACTGCCTTCTTTAACAAAGTAAACAACTTTTCTCTTCTCTCGTTTTACATTTCTAAGATAAATTTTATAATCAACCATCTTAGACAGTCACATTTGACTTGATAAATATAAGAATACCACTTCTGTATACTTAACACAAGTAAGTACTGTACTAAGCTAGTATAAAAATGACTTACTATGTAGGACAGCAGGAAATGGGTCATTTTGTCTCTTAGGAGCTACATTTCTTACTGGTTTCACTACACCTGGGTGTTTGTATTAGACTCTAAAGGCCCATGAATGAGCAGCTTGTAGACATTTTACTCACTCATACCACTGTCCTTGCTGTGTATCCTCCCCGTTATTGTTGCTTGCGTCTCTTGTGCTTAGTATGCACAGGAGCAGCTGTCCCTCTGGACCTCATCAGATGCAGCAGAATGCACTGATCAGAGGATCTCCAGGTATTTTATTTACCCAGTGGGAGCAATTCAACGATCTCATCAGTAGCTCTCTGGGAAGTAAACAGAAACAACAACAAAAAAATGATTCCTGTGTGGCAATCTCATTACATGTAGGCTTACAAGAAACTGAATTCTACTTTTGTTTCGATGACTTATTGGGTGAATACATACAGTACACAATGCAGACAATAACAATAGTAACAATACTTGAAAAATAATAATGTCATTTTTGTCAGCCATGACCAAACGTTTCTGCTACATTCATTTTTCAAAGTTCCAAAAGTGTTGTCTAATAAACTTTTAATAGCAGCAATATCCTTAATAATTTAACATACTTTCTGTTTTATAGTGGACATGTAAAGACAAATTACAGAATATGAAATATTAAATACAATTTCATTTGTTTTTATGTACATTTTTGCAGTTGGATTTTTGAAAAAGGTGATAATTTTTTCTTTTTGCATCTTATTTGCATGTTTTTAAATTGTATTTATCAATTTAACAGTACATTGAAAAACAAAAAGCAAAGATTAGAAGTTTTGTTTTTTGTTATTTTATTTATTACATCTTTACATGTTGTTTTGAAATCCCTTTAAACTTCCTCAACATTTTCTAAAATAATGTTCCATCACGATCACTACAATATTTTATAATTACAATTTACCCAAAAAATCACCAGGATTGTTGCTTATCTACAATGTATCCTAAAGGCAAACGCACTCTGAAGCTCACGGAAATGATCATTAGATTAAAGACAACACACACACAGTTGGTGTCAAGTCCTCTGAGTAAATGTGCTAAATGTATTAAATGTGAGGAGAGCTCATTAATTCTTGTTCATACAAATGAAAAAGCAGCAATAGGTGGTAAAAGAAGAGGCAGGAGACGAGTGTGCTGCGTTTTCCTGCTCCACTATGATTACGATAAGATCATTTTAGCAGGCTTTCTTCTGATTAGTGATCTGATGAGACTGTAGCACCACAGGCAGACACAATAGTGTACCACCATAAGCCTGATTATAAATGACATCAGCAACTTCTGTTGTCAGGTTCTATCAGTCATTTTTGTAATGGAAAATTAAACAGGAATAGGAATGTGGCTCTTGCGAGGAATAATCAAGGTTTAAAAGACAACCATAGAAAAAGAGCTGAGCCTTTCCCTCTTGGCACATTGGAGCATTCCATCTATTCTGCATCTTTTTTATTCATTGTTTGTTTACATGTGAATCCGTTTGTGTTAACCTCACAGATGGTTTGGTAGATAAATGGTAAATGGACTGTACTTATATAGCGCCTTTCTAATCAAGATACTCAAAGTGCTTTATACTACAATCTGTGCCCTCATTTACCCAGAATGCTCCACAGAACGCCACAGGAAGTCCTTCCTCCCTGTGGCTATAAACTTTTCAGCTCCTCCCCCTTTCAATAAAAGTAGAACAATAAAAGTAATCCTGCACTACAATAAACACTTGAATGTTCATGTCTGCACCTGACTTGTTTTAGACCTTAATTGTTGGTATTTTTACATTCTGCATATTTTATTTTTATATTCTCTGTCGGGCAGCACTGTGGTGCAACTGGTAGAGCTGCTGCCTCTCAGCGAGTAGGTCCCTGGTTCAAATCCCGGTCAGGGGACCGTTCTGGGTGGAGTTTGCATGTTCTCTCCGTGCATGCATGGGTTTTCTCCAGGTACTCTGGTTTCTTCCCACAGACATAAAACATGCATGCTAGGCTGATTGGTAACTCTAAATTGTCCCTAGGTGTGAGAGAGAGAGTGAACGGTTGTTTGTCTCTGTGATGGACTGAAGACCTCTACAAGAAGGACGTATGATTTAAATGTCCCCTTCTGCAGAACCACTGTTGCTAAATTTTCATTCATGCATCAAGGTCTTGTGTTGTGGA